ACTTGAACTAAAACTTGTACAAACCCAGAGTTGAACCTAAAAACTCAGGTCATGTTTGGTTGGAGGCAATCGCTATTCTTTGGCCAAACTATAAAAACAAGTTAAATTTAAGAAACTTCATTAGGAAGCTAGACATAATTAAGCCTTAATGTCATAATTTTCTACTAAACTAAGGGACAAGAATGACGAATACATATTCCTTCCATTTTTTAAGGAAAAAGGTACTTTTTAATTATTTGCTAATGTAAAAGGAAAATTAGACATGAAGGCTTAGCTACTCCTAGGTTCCTATGGAAGTTTCTCAATTTTACTTGTTTTTGTAGTTTAACCAAGGAGTAGCCATTACCAACAACCAAACAAGCCCTCAAGGATTCAAGGCCTCTGCATTGCTAGTAAGCCAACGCTTTGGCACCTTAGAATCACTTAAAACAAGTAACAAATACTCAAATTCATAATCTGTACCATTAGACGGGCAAAAAGAGCTAATCCATGGTACCTGATGCTTCCTGCTAGTGAGGGGACGAAGTTCAATCCAGGAGCATCCATTTATCATAGGACCAAGTACGCGATATTCAGTCACAGCCTCCTGTGAAGGTTCTAAACCTGAGTTTTGAGACAGGATAATCCTCTCAGTCCTACCATCATTAAGTAAAACCTACAATAAAAAATAACTCCATTACTACATTAATTAAACATTAAGAAGATTACACGGGCATTATTCACTTAGAGGAAAAACATGGGATGGAAGGCAGATGTTAAGAAGAACCTTTGAAAGAGGGGCAGATATCATGCCTTCCTTTTCCCGGGGGGAGCCTATAACCAATGCCCAGTATCGCTGACATGTAGATTCACATGCAATATTCCAAGCCTACAAATTTCCCCAAAGAACATTACAATGTCAATTAAAAGAATGGAAGCATTCAACCAGCCATCTTCTCTTTTTAACAATTATGCAGCCAACAGTCATTTAATACGAAGAACCAGAAAGGTTGGGCACCTTACATTATAAAATTCCAGGCCAAAGATTTCTCACAGAATTGTAATTTCAATTAAAACAATGGAAAGCATCCAACCAGCTATCTATTGTTTTTAAAAGTCACCACCCGCATGGCCATGTACGAGAAACCAGAAACCATGAATACAGGAAAGCTTACACTTACAAATTTGTAGTTCTCTATAAGTACCTGGCATGAGGATTTGGCCATATTTAGGTCCCTGAAAAGCCAATGAAGATGAGCTACACTTTCTTTTGTTCTTCCCATTAATAAGATGCCACTACTCTCTCTATCAAGACGATGCACCTGATAATATATTTACACAGTGGAAAAAATACTTTTAAAAATTTTTAAAATTTAAAAAATTGAAATGACCATATATATGTAGTGTTGCAAAAGGAGGCACTATGCGGTGGGCATTACCCTACAGCATAGGACTTAAGGCTTAAGGCACCTAGACATTTTTCCTTTGTCCTCTAAAAAAAAAAATAATAATAATAATAAATAAAAAATATCAGAAATTTTTTTTAGAAAAAGAAACACAATTTAAACATTTTATTTCCCTTGTTAGATTCAATAATTATCATTAATAGATTACAATATCTAAATTAATGAAATTAAAAATTCAATGGGACTAAAAAATCTAAATTAATGGGATTACATAATTATCATTATTAAATAAATTAAATTAATGGGAAACAGAAGACAGAACACTGCATCATGGACATATAAAACTATTACATAAGAGTAGCATAAAGAGTTGGATCCATATCCACAGATCCACTTCTTGTGAATAATTTATAATTTGAACACAAACAATAGAATAGAAGTATTGTAAACAGGGATGAAATGCTTGAAAAAATCTAAAATGAGAAACTTACCAACCTAGGACCATCGTCATAATCATAAGACAAAGCTGCAGCTGCTAATGCATCCATGCTGTTATGTACTGGCAGATTCCCCTAAAGATCATGATAAGCAACTACATAAGAGGTTTCAAATAGCTGAGAGCCTGAGACCACACTCAAATTCCTTAAATAAGGAAAGCATAAAGATTCTAACCTTTACTGGCAATCTTGGAGGCTTATTTAGCACAAGTATTGCAGAGTCCTGAAAGGAAAAAAAAAAGCCTGCAAATTAAAACCAAAAAGGCAGAGCATGCGGAATCCAGATAGCTAAAACAAAAATAGATGAAGAATGATTTTGGAAATCACACCTGAGAATGAAAAAAAAAATAGAAAAAGAAAAAGATTTAATAAGATGAACATATAAGTTACAATATAAGCATAGCAATTAAAAGCAAAAAGTTAAGACAAATGCATGCACATGTATATGCAAAATGGGGATTAACAAGTCATGCCAGGACCACTCAAACAAAACTTGATAGTTTGAAAGCAGACCAGATAGCCATTTCAACTTTGTACATGCCTTGTACTTGACAAGTCTTTGCAAATATTTAATCTCATCTGCATTTGGATAAAGGGTTCCACTTGGTATAGTGTCAAATCTCTTGGAGATCCTGGTCTCGGCAACAGATACAGGTATCCAAACTCTAGCCCCTGGTTCCATCACTTCGTTAGGCCTAACCTGAAAGTACACTGGATAATTGTAGAAGATTAAATCCCAAAAGGAGCAGACAGTCAAGGAATATAAGGAACAAGGGGAGAGAAAGAAGAGGAAGCAAGAAGATTTTTAACAATGAGATTAAAAGAAAACCACATAGATTTACAACCACTATCAGTACCTTTCTTAAGGGTTTACCTTGCCCAGGTTTCATTTGCCCTTCCTTTTCTATAAACGAGTTGTCTGCATTTGATGACTCAATTTGGACCTGGAATCAAGAGTCAATGTACCTAAGTTCTTATAAGTACAAATTGTAGTTAATACATCTTATAAACACGATCACAATCAATTGGATATAAAACTCAAGCACGTCTTTATAAATTCATCATATCTTGTGATCAATTTTAAAAAATTAATTTAAATAATTTGACTTCAAATAGTTTTACCACACAACACAGGTAGCCCTTCCAAATTTAAATTTTTTTCTTTGCTCTAATTTGTTAAATCATGGTGACCTTTTTTTTTCCCTTCCAGTAAATCATGGTGACTGTTGGTAATGCAAAGTTCTTGAGCTATATATTAAAGCAAAATGTTCATAAGCAGGTGAAATTTTCAAAATATCCCCAAGTTTAGTCTAAGCACAGGTAGTTCTTCCTATATGGCAGCCATTAAATTTAAAGCAAGAGCAGGCTAGGACAAGGACAAGACATCAGACATACCTTATACACAAAAGAATGTTTTCTCATTCTACCAATTTCTTGGAGTTTTATATATGGTTAAAAGGCCCAGGGTTTAGAATCTCATGTGCTTCACTTTATGAGCCCTTCACTTTATGAGCCCTTAACTTCTCTTCTTTTCTTAGACTGATTAGAGAAGCTTGATTGGAAGGACTTTGACAATTGAAGTCAAGAGATGGATTGAAAGAAAATTGTTTAAATTGTAATAGACTACATAAAGCAATAAAAAAAAAGCCAATCACAAGATTTGAGGGAGGAAAAAGTTATATTAGGAGAAACGATAAATACTAGCCATACTTACGAGGCCTTTGTTGAAATGAGACTGAATGGTCAAGTCTGGAATTTCATCAAAGTAATACTTGACCCAACTGATAGCAGTAACATGAACATGCTGGCCAGTAGAGGATTTTCCAGGCAAAGGATAACTAGGGAATGGTGGCAATGAAAGGAGTTGCCTAGGCTTTGGACCATCTTTTGCTCTGCCCAAATAGGCTATGTTGTTGGACACACGGATAACCTCCTCTACAGAGGCAGGGGACGGAGGAGATATTCTAGAGTAATGTCTCACCTTAGACAGTAGATGTCTACAAATGTTGTTCTTCCACATTATTGGACTTGTTAAACCTAACAAAAAAACCAGTATAGAAGAGATAAATTAACAAACATGCTAGTGTAATGAAAGCAGAAAAAATACATTTGTATAATATCAAATTTCAATGATAACCCACTGATCAGCCAGAACAACCAATGATTGACTCCCGAGTCAATTCTGACTCAAAAAGATCAAACTAGACTTCCAAATCAATCAAACTTATCCTGAAAATTGTATTGAGATAGACCTAGCAACAATAGAATTCAAGAACAAGAAAAACGAAGAAAAAGCATTGGCAAGTGAGACTTTATCCCATTGTACACGAACCAGGCGGCAATGCACCCATTTCATTAAACTAAAGTAATTTCTCAAAAATTCAACTTAACTGTATCAAAAAAGGCAATTGAGTATAAGGAAATAGCCAAAAACAGAGTTACACTCCAATACTCCACAAATATCCACTTCAAAATTCTCAGTGAAAAACAAGAGATTAATATAACAAACAAAAACAGAATTTGTACAGCAAAATCTAAGAAACACATAGCAAGGTAAAAAGAGCACAGTGAACTGGAATTCCACTAAAAATCCAGCAAACACTTCCCATTAAGATCCAAAAAAACACATGACATTCATTTCCCAGCAACATCAATATATCACATAACATTGTTAAACAAGCATGTAGAATCAGGTTCAATACTCCGCAGCATTTCACAGCAGTGAGTTATTCAGCAATAAAAAACTCAAGCCATACAACTACAAGAATAAAGTTTCCACGAAATACCTCACTGCAATAGAATCCCTTTACACTGAATTGCTGTTTTCTGAACTCTATCCTGCTCGTTCTTGTTCCTGCTCTCTATCCCTTTCTCTAGCCTTTCTTTCTCGACTAGTAATTAGCCTTTTGTCCTTTCTGAGATTTTCTTGTTCCTCTCAGACGGTTTCTTTCCATGCCTCCCTCTATCGCCTCTCTTTTTATTTTTTTTCTCTCTCTCTAGGCTCTTTCTTCGCCAAAAACCATTCTTTTGTTCTTCTTCTTTTTTCTTTTTTTTTTTGTTTATTGCCACCCAAGCCAAGTTTTATGGAACTCGAGACTAGTTTCCTCCTGATTTCAAAGGTAGACCTCACGTCGGCCTGCTGCCAGTGTTGCAAATTAGCAGTTGCAAAACGCACGATTGGTTGGGCGGTCGCCTGGTTGCGCCTTAGCTAGGCGGGGAAGGCGGGGCCCCGTTGCGTTGCCAAGCCCCTGGACGGTGGCTGTGCAAAACCAAGTTTTTAGTTTGATCTGCTAGCAAATCGGGGTGCAATCCAGCTCTTAGGCTCTGTTTGGATTGAGGAAGTTGAAGGAGAGGGAGGGAGAGAGCACCTTCTCCTATTTACATAAATAATTTTGAAGGAGGGAGGGAGATGAAGGTAGATAGAGTACTCTTCCTTCCTCTGCTTTTGATGAAGGAATTAGGAAAAATTATATTATTTAATTTATTTTTATTTTTAATTTTTTTTAAAATAAATATATAAATATTTTATTTTAATTATTTATTTAATTAATAAATTTTAAAATTTTTATTTTTTTATTAAATTATTAAATTAAATAAAAATATTATCTTTTCTTATCTTTACTTTTATCTATCTAAATAAAACTAATATTAATTTTTTCCTTACCTTCAATTCTTCTCTCTTTCTTTCTCCTATCCTTCCTCTTTACCCTTTTTTTTTTTTTTTTTTTAATTTATTAATTTTTATCCAAATTAAGGCTTTGAGAACACCGCAATGAGTCGGGACGTCCCCAGATGCACTGGGGTTATAAAAATCCGAGCCAGAACCGGCTCACTATAGAACAAGATGGGTGAACAGTAACTAGCTTGATTTTTTTCAGTTTAGTCCTTGAAATTTATATTAATTACCCATTTTGGTCCCTAAACATTCATTTTGAGACCAAGTTGTCTCTGAATTTAAAAAATTGCCAAATTTGTCCTTAAGCTCTATTTTTCTATTCTCAACTCAGTCCTTCTGTTGATAGAAGTGCTTACGTAGCATGTTAAGTTGCCACAAATTCACTCCTTTAAAATTAAAAAACTTACATGGAAAAACAAACACATTGAATCAATGATGTAACAATAATATATATACCATGTGTGATCCATAACATTAAAAATTCACCTTTCCATCCTCTTTCTTGATCTATCCTTTGTCTTTCTCTTCCCACACCCTCCTTCTCATTAATTTCTCTCTCCCCCCATCTCTCCTCTATCTTCGTTCCCCTTTTCTTTAATTTTTTTTCTTAGTTTTATTTGCTTTATAGGAACCTAGATTAGATTCTTTTAGAGAACCTAGAGCTAAGTTATAGATCTAGTTCTCCAAAAGGATCAACCTAGTTCTCTTGGGCTTCCAAGCTTTATTATGGAGATAGATTGATCATTTAGCTTCTTCATCACTGATGTTCTTTTCCCCTTCTTTAGCAACAATGTTGGCTTCTCTTCCTTTGTTATCTCTAGCACATCCCTCATTCTTCTTCCTTCATTCTTTTTCTTCATTTTTTGGCTAGGGTTTGGGTAAGGATGGCAATGGGGCTCTGCGAGGCCAGGGAGTACTCCTCATCCCCGTCCCCATGCGAATGGCCAAGATGAGGAATCTTGCGAGGATTTTTTACGAGGGGCAAAATATGGGGGGCAAATTTTGCGCCCCATCCTCATTCCTTACTGGGAACAGGGATCCTCGCAGGGGTCCCATTCCCCATCAATTAACATCAAAATATAAATTTTTTACATATAATTAATTAATTAATATTCAATTACAATGAATAAAATTTTAAAAATTCAAGTACAATTAACTAAAATTCTTTAAATATAAAATCAAATATAAATTGTACAAACATAAATAAACATCAATTCAACATAAATAGCTAAACCAACAAACTTGTTCTAAACATAAATAAAGATAAATCCAATATTAAAATATAAAATAGATTCTCATACCAAATTAGTCATTAAAAAATAAACTTTGAACTTTTCTCTAGTTAATGGAATTCTTCCCTTTCACAGTTTCACTAGATAGGTGGCATTCATAGTTTTCTCAATTTCTTGATTTTTCTGAGAAGCTACTACAGTTTTTTATGTTATATGTGTATGTAAAGAAATTAACTACGCAATTCACTAATAGAAATGGTTATGAGCAATCAAAGAATCAAGTAAACTCTAGAAAATCTAGACTTTCTCTATGTTAATTCAACCATAAACAAATTATTTAAACTTTTAACCGTTTGGATCTATAGCCTATTGGTGAAGTAGTCTGACAATAAAGACAAAGTTCAGCAATCCAACAGATCGAATGATGGATGGCTTCGAGTTCGATACTAGCAATCCAAATGGATTCGGCAATAGTAGTGTAGCATGGTAGCAGTCCAGTCTAGCAGCCCAGTCTAGCAGCAGTATGTAGTCTAGATCCAATAGCAGCTCTAGCAAATCAGTAGGTGGCAATGGAGGGATTTAGGGTTACTAGGTTGGGAGAAAGGCAAAGGTGAAAGTGAGATTTTGAGAAACTAGAAGTGAGAAAGATTGAAAGAATGAGTGTTGAGTAAGAGCTGAGTTTGAGATTCTTGACTCTTGAGTACCAACGATAGAAGGGGAGGCGAAGGTTAGAGTGATGAGATGAGTAAGCTTAGGGTTACATGGTTAATAATGGGTTGGGTTGGGTTGGGTAAAATTGGGTTAAGTTTAATTTTTATTGAATTGGTTTTGGGTTTGAAGGTTGAATTAAATTTAAAATAAAATTAATTTACATAATCTTTAAATTTTTTGTGGGGATAGGGGATCCTTGTGGGGTCCTGCAAGAGGAAGAAAATTCCTTGCAAAATTTCATGGAAAGAAAATGCCCCCCGTCCTTACCTCGTCCCCATGGTAGGAATCCTCATGGCGCGTTGTAAGGATCCAAGCAAATTGCCTCCCCTAAGTTTGGGTTTGGTTCTAGTATCTAAATTTGGGTTGCAAAACCCAAATCAAGTTTTGACTAGCCAGAGAACCCATATCTTTCCTTGGAGAGTTGAATTTTAGCATTTTTTTTGTTCTAATTTGTTTGATTTGGAATTTGTTTGCTTCTAGATTCGATTGGAGGTTCGTTGGATAGAATTGGCTATATGATATTTGTTTACCTAAATAGTGATTTTATTTAAATTTTAATATTTTTTAAAACTTTATTTGCTTCAAACAAAAGCTAGGTGCTTGTTTTTTACATCAAGGAGTATTAATCTCTCTTTCAATTTAGATCCACTCAAATAAGTCAATAGTAGTATATTGCCATATTCTAGTTATCATGTAATTCTACTAAAAATCTAAAGTATTTGAAATTGCTCAACTATTGAAATATTTTGGTGTGAATGTTCTTTTGTACTCAAGCATGGAATTTTATAACGTGACCTGTCAAAGTCATTGCAAATTGTTACAAATTTAGATACTAATGGTGCTGCAAATTTGTTTCAAATGGTTAATGTTATACCCAAAATGTAACTTGCGTATAGATAAATAGGCCCAGGCCGAAGGAACCTAGCCCAAATATAAGAATCTTGTAGAATATTTCAAATAATTGCCTAGCTTAAGGAATACTCAAGAAATGAATAGATGGCATGCTCTCATTGGAGGATTGAAAACCTAAAGGCCAATACGAGGAACCATGTAAAGGTAGCATATCAGATGTCCCCACGACTCATTCTCTCTCATTCGTACACATCTACTCACCTTCTTTGACACACACATCTCGCCTCTTTCATTACATAGACACTTATTCTCTTTAGGAATCCTCTCCTAATGTTAAGTGTCGAAGTGCTAAGTTGGAGACCAACCTTGGTCTTTGGTTAAGCTTTAGCATTACTTTGTTTTATAAGTGTCTGTTGCCCATTTCCAGCTTGTTTATCTCACCGAAATTTTGTTACCCATTTCTTGGTGTTAACAATTGGTCTTCAATTTTTCTTACATTTTCCCTAAATGAATTTAGTTAAATGAATTTAAAATAAGATTTCTCTATACCTCAAACTTTATCTTCTTGTAGGCATGTTGACAAGAATGGGTACAAAGAGTGAGAACTTGGCAATCTAGATCTCAAAATGGATCCGGGACCTTAAAATAAGATGGGATAGGCTTTTTGGAAAGTTAGTTTTTGGAAGTATGAGTAACTTAGGATTTAAAAAAAAATGGGGGCT